CCAAAATAGATTCATATATCAGTCCTGTTTGTTAAATGTCTAATATGTTTAGGATCTTATTTAATTATTTTTTTAAATATCTTTTTATTAATAGAATTTTTTTCATTTATAGAATTGTTTTCATTTGCAATATCAAATTTAATATCATAAACATGCAGGTCTCTTGAATAGTATGACCTTTATGTCAAGGTCTTCAGATACGCAGTTCTCTCAGCTATTACAATAGAACCAGGAGACAAGCAGGTTCCAAAGCAAAAAGCGACCTGGAGACCCACATGTCAGTGTGAGCTAAAGGTTCTCTGTTGCATGTGTATAATCATTTGTTCGCCTAGAAGCAGCCAGGCAGCTCATGTGTTGTGGGGTTATCGCAATTTCATGTAAGTAGGGCTTAAGAATGTTGGTCTGCAAATATAAAGGTAGGCAATAATCTGTCTTTAAATACACAAAAATAAGTCATGCGCTCAGACTCCCACTACTCCTGGGCAGCAGCAATGACCATAGAACACATTAGCCTAAACACATACAATAAAATCCAAAGAAAAGAGTTACTTGTGTAATATTCCAAATCCCTGCACATATTTAAATAAATGGAGGTTATTTAGTAACTTCAATGGTTATTAGATCTAAGCCCTCCTGCCACGTCAAGGCAAACCTCTTAGGTGGTTAATACACAAACGATTCACCTTTCTTTCTCCAGCTTCAGGCAAAAAAAAGTATCTAATGAGGCAGAGAGGGGTATTTTTTTTAACCCCTCCATACTTATCAACCCATAATAGGGAACACATGGGATGGGTGGCAGCACTGTAACATGGCAGTGTGATACAAAAGTAAATATAAATACACAAAAATAAGTCTGTCTTCACAACTAAGTGTCTGTGTAACACAGCAGGCCTGCTTTTTTCAAATTGTCTAGATATCAGCAAATTAAAGGGGAGGAGCCAGTGGGTCCAGATATCAAAGTATCTACCAGTGGTGTGGAAGATGAGTTCCTCCATGGAGCGTACTTCCTCCATGTGTTGGAACCAAAGTGTTAGGGATGGAGGTATGGACCTCCTCCAGTGAAGGGCTATTATGCTTTTAGCTACGTCCAGTATCAGTATGGTCATAGACTTTTTATAGGCGGAGGTGCAGGTTTTGATATGATGCAACAGGAGTGCAGCCGGTTGGAAACGGGGCAGGTCGACAGAAAATTTCCTTATGATCTCATAAATTGAGTTCCAAAAGGGGCGAATTACAGAGAATTCTACCAAATATGTAGGATTGTGCCCCTCTCCCACCTGCATCTCCAGCAACTGTCATCAATGGATGGGTCAATCGTGTGCATCAGCTGAAGTGTCTTATACTAGAGTGTGACTAATTTGTATGCAGTGTCCTGAAATCCACTTGAGATTGTGCAGATCACAATTTGTTTGCCATTGAGGTGCTGTGAATTCCTCTCCCAGGCAAATTTCTCACTTCCCCATAAAGCTCCGTGCATTAGTGTGGAGAATAAAAGAGAAGATTTGGCTTTTGTAAGATCGAGTGGGAGAACATTACCACTTGTTTATGGAGGAATCGATGCATGAAAGTCAGATTATTGCCATTATGCAATATATAGGTGGAGATTATTGCCATTATGCAATATAGGGTGGAGGGAAAGATGACAACCCCATCTTAGTAGCTTGACAGTACCATATTTTGAGCGTAGTGCATATCAGTGGGTGTTTGGCTGTATCAGGTTTAGCCACAGTACAGCGCATTTAGTTCTATTAGTATTGCATCGATCTCTTAGAATCTAAATTCATTTTTGGTAGTTAACGCTAACCGTATACCAACCTCCACACTAATGCTGTCTGTAACTGTGCGTATGTAACTGTCTGTAACTGTGAGTGTGTGTGTGAGAAACTGTATTAAATACTCATCACACACATCGAATAAACACAGCACAAATATTAAACACAGCCAGTGAAATATATGCATACCTTTATCACACACAACCAATACATCCATTACAAATATCACACATAGCATTCATATCACACACAGCCCTATACAAACATGTCCCATACCCCCATCTCTCCCCCCGCCCTCCCTGTTTCCCACACCATCCCTCTCTCCCCTCTATGTGTCCGACTGTTCCTTCTCTCCCCCCTCCCCGTGTCCCATACTCTCCATCTCTCCCCTCTCCTCTCACTGTGTCCCATACCCTCCTTCTCTCCCCTCTATGTGTCCCATTGTTCTCTCTCGCCCCCCTCTGTGTCCCATTTCTTTCTCTCTCTCTCTCCCCCTCCCTGTGTCTCATAACCTCAATCTCTCCCCCTCCTCTCCATGTGTCCCATACCCTCCATCTCTCCACCTCTCCTCCCTGTGTTCCATCCATCTCTCCCCCTACACTCTCTCCCCTCTCCCCTCTATGTGTCCCATTGTTCTCTCTCGCCCTCCTCTGTGTCCCATTTCTCTCTCTCTCTCTCTCTCCCCCTCCCTGTGTCTCATAACCTCAATCTCTCCCCCTCCTCTCCATGTGTCCCATACCCTCCATCTCTCCACCTCTCCTCCCTGTGTTCCATACCCTACACCTCTCCCCCTCCCCTCCCTGTGTCCCATACACTCCATTTCTCCGCCCTCCCCTCCCTGTGTCGTATATCCACCATTTCTCCCCCCTCCAATCCAGGTGTCCCATTCCCTCCACCACTAACCTCCCTGTGCCCCATACCCTCCCTCTCTCCCCCCTCCCTGTGTACCATTTCTCCCTCTCACCCTCTCCCCTCCCTGTGTCCCATACCCTCCATTTCTCCCCTCTCCCCTCATCCCATACCCTGTATTTCTCCCCCCTCCCATTGTCCCATACCCTCCATTTCTCCCCCTCCCCTCCCTGTGTCCCATAACCACCATTTCTCCCCCTCCCCTCCCTGTGTCCCATAACCACAATTTCTCCCCCCTCCCCTCCTGTGCCCCATACTCACCATCTCCATCCTCCACCTGTGTCCTCCCCTACCTGTGTCCCATACCCTCCATCTCTCCCCCCCCCTGTGTCTTTCTCCCCCTCCTTGCCCCATACTCACCATTTCTCCATCCTCCCCTACCTGTGTCCCATGCCCTAAATTTCTCCCTCCCTCCCCTCCCTGCGTCCTATACCCTTCATTTCTCCCCCCACCTGTGTCCTGTACTTTCTACATCTCCCCCCTCCCCTCCTGTACCTTACTGGCCACGGTTCCCGGTCTTACAGGAAGTACTCTAACAGTGAAGCTCTCCCTTCCTGCCAGACGTCCGGGAACCACGGACAGGGCTGGCTGTGCACCGGCCCATAAGGTATTCAGGTGGGTGGCCCACGGTCAAAGGGGTCGTGGCAGCAGCCGGGCCCCCTGGAGTGAGAGGCCCGGTCGCAGCTGCAACCTGGGTAGGTACGCCAGTGTTTCTCGCACTCTCTCAACACCACCAAGAAAGACAAACATACAATCTCTACAGCCCCAAGTCACACACATTTTACATCCAGCTGAAACACATACACACTACAGTCCCTAGCCACACATAGTACACCAGAAATAGATAATAATACTTTACACACACACACTACAAACAGTTTCCTCTATGCACAACAACACTCTTTACCAGCCATGTCCCACGTTTGGCCTCTGGTATCGCTCTTATAGGTACACCAGAGACAAGTCACCAGCAAACACAGAGCTGTGCCTTGTAAAAGAAACACAGGGCATTGTTCCCATGTGAGAGCTCTCCATGAGATGCCGTGAGGAACAGTAAACTCTCCATACTTTGAGATGGCATGTGTGTCATTGTTGATGACAAACAGTGACATACATAGACACACAGGGGAACACAATGACACACATGCAAATACAGACATACATATAGATATACATACACACAGATGTACACATACAGACAAATGGATACACAGTCACTCAGATATACATACAAAACACATTTACATACAAACAAACACAAACAGATAGATACACAGACACATGCAGATTCCCACATACATACACAAACTGATATACATAGACACACAGACACTCATTTAGACATGCATGCCTCAGAGTGCAGGTCTGCTGCCTGCAATAATTGATTTTAGGATCGGCGTTACTAAAATAAATTATTGTGGGCAGAGGACAAATGAAGCAGCTGCCCCTTTTGCCCTGCGTTAAATATGAACCTGGCCATGCTCCCTTTCTGTCCCCGCCCCTCCTATTCGACTGCTCTGCCAATGCCCATGTTTTTTTTGTTTTTTTTTTACCAGTCCAGCCCTGTCTATATGTATAAGATTTACATCTATAAAGATTCCCAATGAAAAAATCTGCAACTACAACAACTGTAATGATTAACTACACATCACTAAAGTATAATAGTCAATGTGCAAAGAAACTAGTGAGTGCCATACAGTTTTATTTGACATGTCAGACAGAAAATGCAGAAACATACCAATGGTCTGTAAAGATCAATGAAGACAATTAGCAAATATCATGGAGCACAAGTTGATAATTGACAAAACAGGCTTTTTAGGCCAACATATAGGCATCTATACAAAGTTAGTTTAAAGGGACACTATAGTGACCAGAACAATTACAGCTTATTGTATTTGTTCTGGAGAGTATAGTCAGTTCCTGCAGGCAGGGGAGCTAACATGTTTTTATACCCTATTTATAGTTACATACCCCCTCTCATAATATTGTAAAGCGATACAGAATCTTTTGGCGCTATATAAATGGCAATAATAATAATAATAATAATACCATTTTAAGGTGAGCAAGGGCGGCAGGTTAGCTAACATGGTTTTTGTTCCTGACCCTACAGTGTACCTCTAATAAAGAAGTTTTGGTATATACATCAGGCCCCTACAATCTCACTGCTTAATTCTCTGCCATTTGTTAGTTTGATCACCATAGTTTCTGTAAATGCAGCCCTAGTCACACCTCCCCTGGCCGTGACTGACACAACCTGCATGAAAAAAAAAAGGATTTTATTTCAATCAGATATTAACTTGCTTTAGACATTTTTATCTCCTGCTCTGTAAATTAAACATTAATCAAAGACAGTAAGTTCCTGCAGGGTCTAAGAGGCTATTAACAGAGCAGGAGACAATATATTATAGCTGAAACAGACTGTGCAATACAGGATCCTAGAATTTATATGTTACTTTTCAGGAAAATTTTAGGGAGGCTGTGTAAATCACATGCAGGAGGTCGTACTAGGGCTGTAATTTAACTCCTAAATGGCAGAGAATTGAGCAATGAGGCTGCAGGGCATGATCTATACATCAAATCTGCTTCATTAAGCTAAAGTTGTTTTGGTGCCTATGGTATCCCTTTAATACTGACTATATTTGTATGTTAATGAGCAATCACTTATATTAGAATTATGGCTTATATTTATTTCATGTAACAAGTAGCTATTTTAAAGTCAAGTAAGCATTTTATAATAATAATAACAAAAGTCATAAGGTAGTTTGTGAGCTTACTGTACATTTAATGGTAGTATGTATCAATTTGCTAGTATAATAGCTAACCATCATACATTTATAGGGATAGTCCCAAATTTGTCTTTACAGTTTACCATGTTTTTTATTTTAGTTTTTTAATATCGGTTTCTCTAAATGGTTAAAGGGATACTCTAAGCACCATAAACACTACAGCACGTCTTTTAAAACCAAACAGCACTCCTCGCACACCATGGTACAAGTGCTTTGCAAACTTAATACATCAACTAGGACTTGACTCAGGAGCTCAGCTAAGGTGAAACTTGGGGGCTCTGTGTATACTCCTAAGAAAACATGACATTTCCACTCATCCTTGCTTAAATTATTAAATGAAGAGGGACCCAGCCATATTTTTCCTGATTTATACACACACACATATATGAATTCATATTTTTTAAATCCATGGCAAATTACCATATAGGTAATGTGATGCAACGTTTTCCCACTGTGTCGTCACGTGACATTCCAAAGGGTCACGATCTTTATTTAATTTCGGTATTAAAGGTTACCTATTAATCGTAGCTTTCTGTAGCATGACGTGAAACAATGTTTACAGAAATATGTTTCAGTATTACTTATCCTCAATTAAACTTAATACGGCATATGATCTTGACATATTTGGAGCTGTGACATCAGAAGCACAAAGCATGCTGCGTTTATGTTAAAAAGCTTTTAATGAAGATCTACCTACAGATGCTTAGTAGCTCATTAAAATCCATCTAATGCATAAGAAGAAGTGATTTAATGCTTAAGGTTAATAGTGTTGACTAACGGCTCTGTTTATTTCACAGTAAAGAATATGCTGGTTGGGTAGTATTCATTGCATCATTGCCCCGAAACCTCTAAATGAAGCATTTGTGCTTTAGAAATTACGCACTGAAGCACTATCCGTTCTTGTGGACTCCACCTATTAACAGGTTAGGCAACCTCTAAATCCCTAGTTGAGTGATTTTTGTACTTTAAAATAAATGATTCTTCTTGAACATAGCAATTAATTAGACTAAACAAATTACCACACGCAAAATAAATAAATATATGAAACTACTGTCATAATGTCATAAACTAAACTCTAAACTAAATGTCAACTAAAACTCTACAGCCATTCAGCCAACCTTTTGGATTCACACGAGAATTGGCATTTGTAGCAAATGGAAAGAAAACCTTTTTTCGTTTAAATTTGTGCATACTGCAAATTATTTAGATATGAATTTCACAAGTCATTTATGCCTAGGAAATATTAGCAACAGAGTTTTGGCAAAAAAAAAAAAAACATGTAGAAGTACCTACATTGTTTTCCTCAGCAAAAAAAATTATATACACAGTATCTCACAAAAGTGAGTACACCCCTCACATTTTTATAAATATTTTATCTTTTCATGTGACAACAGTGAAGAAATTACACTCTACTACAATGTAAAGCAGTAAATGTGGAGCCTGTATAACAGTGTAAATGTTCTGCCCTCTCAAAATCACTCAATACCGTTGGCAACAAAAGTAAATCCCCAAGTGGAAGTGTCCAAAGTGTAAATATTTTGTGTGGTCACCATTATTTTCCTGCACTGCCTTAACCCTCATGGGCATGGAGTTCACCAGAGCTTCACAGGTTGCCACTGGAGTCCTCTTCCACTCCTCCATGATGGAGCTGGTGGATGTTAGAGACCTTGCGTTCCCCTACCTTCCGTTTGAGGATGCCCCAGAGATGCTTGATAGGGTTTAATTCTGGAGACATGTTTGGCCAGTCCATTACCTTTACCTTCAGCTTCTTTAGAAAGGCAGTGGTCGTCTTGGAATACTGCCCTGTGGCCCAGTCTCCGAAGGGAGGGGATCATGCTTTTCTTCAGTATGTCACAGTACATGTTGACATTCATGGTTCCCTCAATGAACTGTAGCTCCCCAGTGCAGGCAGCACTCATGTAGGCACAGACCATGACACTCCAACCACCATGCTTGTCTGTAGGCAAAATACACTTGTCTTTGTACTCCTCACCTGGTTGCCGCCACACATGCTTGACACCATCTGAACCAAATAAGTTTATCTTTGTCTCATCGGACCACAGGACATGGTTCCAGTAATCCATGTCCTTAGTTTGCTTGTCTTCAGGAAACTGATTGCAGGTTTTCTTGTGCATCATCTTTAGAAAAAGCTTCCTTCTGGGACGACAGCCATACAGATGAATTTGATGCAGTGTGCGGCGTATGGTCTGAGCAGTGACAGGCTGACCCCCCCCACCCTTTCAACCACTGCAGCAATCATACGTCTATTTCCCAAAGACAATCTCTGGATATGACGCTGAGCACGTGCACACAACTTCTTTGGTCGACTAAGACGAGGCCTGTTCTGAGTGGAACCTGTCCTGTGAAACTGCTGTATGGTCTTGCACACCATGCTGCAGTTCAGTTTCAGGGTCTTGGCAGTCTTCTTATAGCCTAGGACATCTTTATTTAGAGAAACAATTATTTTTTCAGATCCTCAGAGAGTTCTTTGCCATGAGGTGCCATGTTGAACTTCCAGTGACCAGTATGAGAGCGTTAACACAACACACCTACTCCCCATTCACACCTGAGATTAACGAGCCACATGACACTGGGGAGAGAAAAGGGCTAATTGGACCTAATATGGACATTTCCACTTAGAGGTGTACTCACTTTTGTTGATATAATTCACTGGAAGTACATAACTCATCCTAGGTTTGGATAGTACTCAATAATCTGTGAGTATTAGATAACAGCTGAGAACAGAACAACTGCAGATACCCAATAAAATAAAAGTGTCAAATAGTGTGCACGGTCATATTATAAGAAAGGGTTACAGTAAGGACAATGGAGACGTGTAATTATCTGCCTCAACAGGTTGCGTTAACATATAATTTACAGATTTTAAACATCTAAATATTTTTAAACAGGGAAAATAAATCCAGGTATAAAAATAGTAATAGATTTATAAGCCGCTTGTTGATGGCCAGTTTGGTCAGACATTTTTTGTTTTTCCTACTCTGACAGGAAATTCATGCTGTGTGTTTGTCCTCCCCTTGGATCCCACAGATAACTGTGGCAGGCTGAGCATGATGGGCTGGATCCTCTTACAATCTATGCCTGGGATAGGCAACCTTCCGCACTCCAGATGTTATGACTACATCCCCCATAATGCTCTTACACCCATAATGCTGGCAAAGCATCATGGGAGGTGTAGTCCAAATCACCTGGAGTGCGAAAGGTTGGCTATGCCTGCTCTATACTGTGACACACGATGCTCCGGCCATGTGCTCTCCGAGGATGCTCACATCACGTGATCCCGTGCTCCCACGCAGGTTTACTCTCCTGGGAGGGACCGCGGGGCACGTGTTCCACAGACACTCTCACCAAGCCGTGGCCCCGCCCATCCGGCCCTGTGAGGGGCACAGGGGACAGTCCGACCTCGCTGTGCTTCACGTGTGAAATCACCATGAAAGGGCGCGGCCATGATAACTCAGCCACCGCCCCCTTCGAGAAACGGCAATCCTCGCAGCCCATTGGTTGGTAGCCTGACGTGGACTCCGCCCACACACACGCCTGTGTTCTTCGCCCACCAATAGAATCACTTCGTAGTTCCCCCTCTTTGCCGAGTTGGCCGAAACCCGCAAGCTCGGTCACAAGCTGACCAATCAGGGCTTTTGTTTAGGGGTTGAGTGGGAGGTTCCAACAGCAGCCAATAGCGGATGTCCGGGAAGGCGGAGCTGAGTCAGCGAGAGTGGTGGGCGGGGCTTCACAAATCAACACTCTTTCTGACAGCGCGGCCTCCCACCCTGAACGGAGAGAGGTTTTTTTTTAACACGGCGCTGCCGATTGGCAGCCGTAGACGTCACTCAAATCTTTTCGTCCAATCGTGTTGAAGAAGCTTGGAAAGGGGGCGTGGAAAAGGGGCGGTTGGTGGAGGGGTGGGTGGGTTTTTCCCTTTTTCCTCTGGTCCCCTCTCGCGCGCGCGCCCGATTTCTCTCTCTCTCGCTCCTTTTCTGTGGCTGGGCGCGCGCGCCCCTTAGCTTTTTTTTTAACCGGTCGCGAGGAGGAGGAGGATGTGGCGCGCGGAGGGGAAATGGCTGCCGAAAACAAGCCGGAAGGTAAAGAGAGCGGAACCTTCCCAGCCGTGAGGGTCGGTCGGTGCTGAGGGCTTCTCCTGGTGGGGTGTTATTCTCCGAGGAAGGGGCTCCTGGCGGAGGAGCACGAGCCGTGCAGCGGGAGGGAGAGGGAGGGGGACAGAGTGCGAGGAGACAGGAAAACCCCCCGTGTGAGGCGAGCAGGGAGGCGGTAGGGAGGAGAGGGAGGGAGGGGTGTGGGAGAGCAGGCGGAGGGCGAGCTGGGGAGGAGAGTGGGCACACTTTGCTGAGAGCTCCTGTCACTTGGAGAGAATAAAGCCACAGGGCGAGTGGCTGGCTGAGGGGAACTTGGGGTGACACCAGGGGGACCCCAATCCAGGCATCCTGCTCCACCTGGGGGTCTCCAGTCCTGTCAGCCTGCTGTGCCGGCCACTCAGGGGGTCCCACATCCCAGCACCCCCTCCTGCTGGCTGCCCCCCAAACCCAGCATCCTCTGCTGCCTGCCTGTCTGCCTGAGTGGGTGAGGAGAGAGGGGCGATGCTCAAGGTGTCCCAAATCCAAGAGTCCTGAGCTTGTCATCTGCCCCCTCCACCCCCCTCCCTCACTCCATCCTGCCTGCCTGCCTGGTCCCTCACTGTGTGCTCTCTGTCCAGGGGAGGGGGTCTGGCATGTCTCCTTGGCTGGCGCCTACAAGCTCCCCTCTGGTCTCACTATAGTCTTGGCTTGTTGGGGGGATAAAAAAAGAAGCTGCACCTCGTCATGTCAATGAATAACCTCGTGGAAGGATCTTTAAACAACCAGAGCCGGCGCCAGACAACTGGAAAGTATGGTAAATGGTGCATCCACGGAGCTCCAGATCTCTGGAGACACATTCCTGGCATGAGTGTTTTCCATTCAAGTGGGAGGCATCACCCATACTTTTTTTTTTCTTTCTTTTTTTTTTTTTTTTGGGGGTGGTGTGCTGGTTCATATTCATCCCTGGCAAAGGGGCATGTGGTGGATGCTTTCTATGGCAAGGGAGGGGGGATGCATCTTTTTAGGTACCACATCTCAGATACACCAAACTTTCCACCAAATGAGCATCATGAAGTTTGCTATACTACACTACAAACAGGAGCACATGGCACATACAGACACGATACTGAGGAGTCCCTTACATTTAATGCTTGTGGAGTGTTGTCTAAGCTTCATAGCTTTTTGTATGTTTATGTATATTTGCATATTTTTTTTCTTTATAGTACATGTACAAAATTATCTTAAGCGATAAAAATATATACATATTTTTTTTTTTTCATTTTAAACTGTTTATCTGGGAAATGTTTTGGAGTCACCTGGTGCTCTGCAGTTCACTTGAAAATCGACATGAAATATATTTATAGGGAGAACCAAAGTAATTCTTAAAGTTAAATACACTATTTTAGAAAAGGTGGTAGAGAACAACAATAATTTTTTTTAAATTTTTTTTTATCACCAAGTATTTGTTAAAGTGCTGGTGAAATATATGACCTTTTTAGGAGCCATAAATGCCATTATTTTCTAAAACAATTATTTTAGATATGCTATTATCACTCAATTTGCCTTTTAATGCATGGTGTTCTTTTAAGTCTTCATTCAGTGTTAGTTTTATAAAATATATTTTCATAATTTGATGGACTTGGGTAGTACTTAATATATCCTAAATCCACAAGGGGGTAGTGATGCACTATCAAGACGTTTTCAGTATAGACATGCTGATTTTTTTTTTCTTCCCTCTCTCAATGCTTTGGGTTTAGAGAAAAATGGCACATTTACATGTTAACCTAAAATACCTCATAGTATATTTTAATTTGTATATCATTAATCAGCATATGTGTTTAAACCAGTATTGGTACATTCTCTGTTTGTAACAGTCCTTGTTAGGATTACTTTGTATTGGGGAAGTAATTTGATTTCCATGTTATTTAGAAAGTGTTCTAGAATTTTTTTTTTTTAATATATGTAATATCTTCAGCTAAGGACCACATTTGTTTCAGTGGTTCTATCACTGCATTTCTTCCTTTTCCATGTTTGTGTCCTGCGTTATACAATTGAGAGCTCAACATACTTTGTTTCCACAGATCTGCACTAGAGTCAAAATTAAGCTTCTAAACATGTTCCCCTCAACTCCATACTTTTTCACTTTTAGTAGACTGTGGATTTGCAGAAAATTACTTTGCATGTGGTTCACGCCCTTGGACAACAAAAAGTTAGTTCCTTTTGAGAAAAGAAAAAACATATACACCAAAAAACAGTGACACAAGCACTTGTCTCATATTGGGTGTGCACTCATTTTGATGTATGGAGGATATATGCCGCCATATCAGATTTTGTACCAGTATGATAGTATGTTAACCTAACAAGTGGATTTTTGATTGTCATTGCAATAGATAGTGTTGACTGAGCAATAGGCAATACATGCTTTTTTAATGTACATAAAATATTATTCAAAAGGAAGACTACTAGGTAAACGTATAACATATGCTACTTGTTGGTTTTTGCATACCTATGGTTATTGGTAATTATCAGGATCACAGTTTGGTAATCTATACACTACTCATGTTTGTATGCTTTAAACAAGTTGTATTTCAGCTCCTCCAACACTTATGTACATCCTGTATAATTGTTTCACATGTTTATAGAGTGTAAGCACCTGGTTGACTAACCCTTGTGCAAATAACTACTCAGGTGATTTATTTCACCATAATTATTTTTTCTACACTTTTTTAAAGGGGAGTTAGTGATATAAAGCTAGTATAGTCTTCTTCGATGAACTGACGTCTATATATTTATATTCTTGAATACGTCACTAAATGTGTCTGTGATGGGACATATGTAATTTCTCAACATTATAACCTTTTTATTCTTTGACTGTTTTCTTGGGTAAAACAGGCAAATAACAATCACGCTTGATTAACAAGAGTGCCAATTAGTTTTGATATAGGATCTGATGGCTATTGTGCAATGGTTTATTTGGATGGCAGCATTGTCTTTATATTAAAATGTTTTGTTTCTTAACACTGCAATTGAAACAGTTTGTATAAAAATACCATAGATACATTGTCTGCAAATATAGAAATCTTGTGGTTTTCAGTGCTGAATTCTGGTTGCTCTCCAAGGTGCTGACTATTAACTAGGGAATCCCCCTCTTAAAGCATTAAATGCTCCTGTCAGTCTTGCCTACAAAACATTAATGTACATTATTTATACTTGCTTGGTATACTTAATATAAGCATGGCCAAAATGTA